AGTGTTTATCCAAGTATTCAACAAGTCTCTTACATTTTATTGACAAAATAAAATGCAAAAAGAAAATTATTCATTTTCTGTCTATATGAAAGTCGCGACCTAGGCGGGTTTAGACAGGCTAGACGGACGCCTAAGCAGGTATAGACATACTTTCTTATTTTTCAAATGCCTAGAGACTCATTGAGCCGGTGGCTAGCCACTTAGTACTGGGGACCTAGGCGGCGATATGCAGGAATTTTTAGAACACTGGGATGAAATAATCCTGATCATAGGAAAAAAGTACATTAAGTTCACATAAGTATACTTGGGATAGTCTCCTAAGTTTGACAAAACTTATCAATGAGAATTAGAAGCATTGTAACTCAAACTATTTCCGCATACCAATTCCTTAAACAAGCTTCTGAAATGTGGACTTCAGCAGTGACTTCGTGAAAAGATCATCAAGGTACTTGGGAACGAACCCGTTTGAATTGAATCGTTTAATGCTCTTGCTGCTGTATACAACAAGTTTAGTAAATTTGGGTTACTTCGGAACCTTAGTCCGAGTAGTCAACGTGACTATTAAATAAATGTCATGATATAAAGATAAAGAATAAAATATTGGGTCACAATATAAGGTGGGTTGTGCCAAAAACATATTGAGGCTGTTGGCCCAACTAAGTTTCTAGACTACACGTTCAGTGGGCACAATAAGCCCAGACCCAATCAATGGCTGACTGTGAAGCAAGGTAGCGTTTGGTACGCAGACGGGACGAGACGGGACGGGACAGAACGGGACGGCCATTTGAAGATTTAACATTAAACACACATTACACACACAATGCCTCAATTCCAAAACATGAAAAACCTCAATTTATCTCTCACAATTTTAGGATTAACATTTCAGATCACTGTGATTATTCAAATCAACAAACGGATAATACAAATTTTAAACCCAGAGAGAAAGAGAGGGGGTGGGGGCTTACGGAGAAGGGGAAAGAGCCATTGAGGAGCAACAGGGGTTGACAGAAGCCATTGGAAGGTGGACGTGGAGCTGCTGCTTTCAGGCTTTCAGCTTCCCGTCGAATGTTAAGAGCTTGATTTCTACGGGCATGCTTGATGGGGTTCCTGTAAAATATGTTTCCTTGGCACGTGAAGTAAGCTCCTGAGCTTCTTGTCCATTTTTGTTCAGTTAAGAGAGAGAGAGCCGGCGAAAGAAATAGAAGAGAAGAGGAAAAGAGAGCCGACTCAGCCCGGAAAGCCCGAAATCGAGCTCGAATTCATCTGGGTTGCTGGGTAACGAAGCTATGTTTGGGCAACGAAGCATTTGGGTTGCTGGGTTGTGGTGGATGAGGAGGCTACAAGAGAGAGAGAGGGTAACGAAGGTACGGGAAAGGGAGGCTGCGGGAGAGAGAGGGAGGGTAGACAGTGGAATTTTTATGTTCCACATACGTGGAACAACCCGTTCCAGGGGGAGGAGGCGGGACGCAAAAACACCCAATTTATGTCCCGTGGAACAGCGCGTTCCACCCATTTTTGGCGTACCAAACGCGGGACGGAACGCCTCGTCCCGTTCTGTCCCGTCCCGCGTACCAAACGCACCCCAAATGAACGCCCAAGCCCAAATTTAGGCTAGGTTTGATGCGGGTCAAGCAAATGAGAAGACCCACGGATTCTCAAGTGGGGCAAGATCAACCCAGCTAAGCTGGGTGGGGGTTTCCGTCGGGAAATCCAACGGCGTTGCTACTGGCGATGGTGATCTCAGGAAGAGAGCGAGCTAGGGTTTGAGAAAAAAAAACATAGAATCACGACGATGAAAATTCTCGACTCAGAGTCACGATGGAAGGGGCAAAACCCTATAAGATTCATTCGAATTTCACGAAATTCGTCAAATTAGATTGTCGAGGCTTCGAAATCAACGACATGCAAGTCGTCAAAGGTCTGTAAAGTGTCACGCGGTGGGTGGTCCACGTCTGCGGGTGTGGGTAGTTCGACTACGGGTCTGGGGGGTTCGAAGCTCAAAACCGTTGGACATTCATTGGGAATCTCGTGTTTCACCATGGAAATTTGAGGTTTATGCATCATAACGAATCTTGCATGCTATAAGGCTAATTATAATATCGAAATTGAAACCCAAAGCCAAAGCCAAAGCCCGAATCCCAAACCAACTCTTTTCGGGATAGGATTCTAAAACCCGAAACCTTTTGGTTTTTCGGTTCGAGATCGGGAATTAATGTAGTCAGATGATATCAACCTAATTTAGGAAGATCGAATGAATGCAGTCCCCAAATAACAAATTTCCAATCCCCTATCCCAAATTTGCAAACAACCCCTCCAAAATCGGACAGTCAAGGATCGAAGAAGTTGTCGATCAAAATTCAAAAGCAGAAAAATACAAAGAAATCAAGCAGTAAATGAAATTAGGGGATTTTCAAAACAAAAATCCTAATTTTAATTCTAAATCCACAAATTGAAAGTTCAAAACCCTAATCCTCAATTTCAGAATCAAAATCGAATCAATGGGCAATAATTTCATGAAGTTTGGCACCTTCAGATTAGAGAAGCTTCGGTTTGGAGGTCGTTAGAGGTGGAACCGTGGAAGTCTGGATCTGGAATATGGGGTAGTGGTCGATGACTCAAGCTCGACGGCCGACGTGTTGAGTCTGTTGACAGAGGGAGTAGGGGGAGAGCAAAGAGTGCAGAGACTCAAGGAATTAGAGAGAGTGTTGAGTCCAAGTATGCTGACATAGCGAAGGATGAGAGGAGAGAGTGCAGAGAGACTCGAGAGGTTAGAGAGAGTGCAGGTCTGTCTGAGGGAGAGAGAGAGGGAGAGAGAGAGAGGGAGCGCAGGGTCATTTGAGAGATAAGAGAGAGGTCTTTTAGCTAACGGTTGAGATTTAATCTCAACAGAATCCAATGCTTACGGTTTATTCAAATATGTGTGTGTGTATCCAGGCCCTTTAACAGAAGGGATCCCTATTTTTAAAACAAAAATATGAACATCCTCTTGACTATTAGATTTGGTTTTGATGAAATTCTGTAGTTGAGATTAAATCACAGGCCACATAATTTCATTAAAATCAAATCTAACAGTTAAGAGGATGTCCCTATTTTTTTTTTTTTTTTGGAAAATGGGGATCTCTTCCCTTAAATGCTTTATATATATATATATATATATATATATATATATATATATATATATATATATATATATATATTAGTTCGAGATTACTGAACATTTGGCAACCCTAGTCCCAATTCCCGGGAATCGGATCCCCTCCGGATCCATTTGAACTAAGCCCAAGGATCAAATGATTCGGGCCATTGAAATTTGATCCAACGGCTACAATTATTATAACTTTTAAAGGGGCCCCTGTTTGTAGCCGTTGGATCAAATTTCAATGGTCTGGATCATTTGATCCTTAGGCTCAGATTTTTTGAGTCCGGAGGGGATCTGGTTCTCAATTCCCGTACCAAAGTCTCCAGATTTTTTCAGTCGGGTTCGAGTAATTAAGGATTTTTTTCCAACCCTACTTATGAGCTTGGTTGTAGAAGATCCTTCTCCAAATATATAACTCAACATCAAGAGCATGTTGATAACATGTTGTAAGCCTATTTTAATAAGAAAATAGGGAAAAGGTGTGGCACATAGAGAGTTGGGAAATTTCCATGATGTTCTTTCTCACCACTCTTATCTTTATATATAATAAACATAGCATGGTTCATTGCCTACAAGTAATACAAGGTCCACTAGGAAAGGTCTATAACACAATTCTATATACAATTTAAGATTTATACAATCACACTCCTAATTAAATTAGAACTTCAACAAAATTAACTTTTTATAATTTTAATTTATATTTTGTTCAAAATCGGTATTTCACATCTCCTTAAGACTTGTCCATTAAAGAGATTTCTGATCAACAAAAAGTACAAAATGCCTTTCCCAAGACAGTTTGTATCGAGTTATTATCATTAATAGCCAAAATTTAACTCTTAATTTTAAAAATGTCAATTTTTATCAAAACTTTCAAATATACCAAAAAATTCATTTAAATAGATACAATCACCCTCATAATTTAACCTAATTACACCCAAAACCAAAACCCAAAGAGGAAGGAGAAAACAGTGGAGCCACACACCAATTACCAAGCAAACTTCCGAATTCAAAGGTCGTCTTCTCAAAATTACCATGGATACAATTTATCAAGCGATGCTTTGCCCACATTTATTGAATTGTCTTCAACTTCTCTCTCTCAAAATTCCTATTTATTTATTTTTTTCAATTGTAATTATTTTTACTGATAATATCCTCTTAATCAAGATCATCGGTTCCCCTTTTATAAACATGCATCTCTACCTTTCTCTTTGAAAGCACAGAAGTGAAAAGTCAAAAAGTCAATTTCATCCCAAGACATCAAACACTATTTTGATTTGAGCAACACCCATGAAGAACTTTTCATCTGATAAACAAATCCATATCCTTTTCACAATTTTGGCTCAACTGTAGTTTGTATTTTAACCGTTCTTGAAAATAAATAAGAAATATTATGAATCCTACAAGGTTCTGGGTTTTTGTTTTGGCATGAAGTTCTTCCCTGGATAGTAGAACAATGGCTTTGCATTCAATGACACAACAGAGATAGCAGCTTCTGCATTTGAGGGTCAAATTTTGAGGGTATTTGGGTACTTTTGCATGAGTGTTGTGTCATATTTGAAATTTTTTATAAAACCTAACATTTATGAAAATGGAGGTCAAGTTTTGGCTATTAATGATAAAATCTTGTTTGCATCTCCCATCGAACCTCTTCTGAAGGAGGGGAGGAGCTCATTTGACAGGACAAATACAGACGGGTGCTTAAGAATGGCATGAAAAAGACATACGAAATGATCTCCTTGAATCATCATCATCCTATCAAAAATCCAACTTAGCTTTCCATCCTCAAACATCTTAAGCAAACCTGGGCAGTTGTGTGTCTTAACGCATCACATAACATTGTAAACCAACTCTACACAAGAACTTGAACAACCAAAATCCCTCTCAAGGCTTATGATTCATATGTAACGTGGGAACCGGATGTATTACATTTAAGCAATGAACATTATACCGTCTCTTATTTTTGCAATCGTAGAATACAAGCAAATACAGACGTCAGTCACCTACAAACGTTGTATCTCAACTCCTGTTAACTTATCCATGAACAAAATGTACAGCACCCTATTGAGGGTATATATGAGGTCTCTGAGCTGAAAGACCCTAACTGCCACCGTATTGTCAACTAATCCGATCTTTTATATCATCACACCATATAGGGCGTCAAGCTAATCCCAGGTATTTAACTAGCAGTACAGTATAACGGGATCATAAAGGAATTTTGTCAGGCAGGAAGAGGTACCGGAAGTGCGAATCAAATGGAAGAATCCCACAGTTACGTGAACCAAGAAGTTTTTGTCGCCTCTGTGATATGCATTGTTCAACAAAGGCAGCTTGGTGGGGCTGAAGGTAATGTGATATCCACACAGCTAAATTTGAATCATCCACAATGCCCTTGGCAAAGCAGTGCACCATTTTTGGCACCAACAACCTCCCCCTGCTGCTAACCCCAACCGAAGCTCGAACAAAATCACGCTGGGCTTCCTGAAGCTCTTCCCTCACATTTTTAGCAGTGTACATTCTTACCTGCATTTATGTATTTCATGTCAAAACATAAAAATACAGCTCGAGTCCTCGACTTCCGAGAGGAAACAAAAATTAAGCCTTCAGCACACAGAAGAAGTGTAAAGATTACCGCTGGTGAAGAGTACATTCCACAGCTCAAAGCAAACGTTGCAAGTGGTTCATAGGTATCGATTGCAGACTTCCGTTGCTCATCTGACACCTTCAGCTTGTGAAGGGCAAGAAGCAAAGCCTGATATATTTCACTACAATTGTCAGTCAGGGAATGAAGTATATTAATGGACTAAAATCAAAATTAGTTCATAGCGATCATTAGGCAAAAGTTCATACAATTTGTGGTCTATGGAGTGGTGGCTTCATCTTCAGAATTGCATACTCAATAGCAGCTGCACTGAAAGAATGACCACCAACAGTATAAGCTGCCTGCAAAAGTACGACACCAATCAATACACTTGGCTGGTAATTCTTTGTCAAGCAACCAAAATTTGGCATTATTTTTCCACTGTCATCCAGAACTTAAGAAATGCAAAATTATAGAGAGAACTATCAAAGAAATCGGACCTTTTGCATCAAAGAGAAGAGCTTCAAGTCACTTCTAGGGACTCCATAAGCCAAGTAAGCCTGTTCAAAGTAGTAAACATTTAACTCCACAAGTTTTGCATGGATGCTTTGCAAAGTTGACCAATGTGACATATACTACACATTTAAGAAAATGAAGGAAACTTACATGCATAATCAGTGCATTGTACAAGTTAATCCAGAAAGCTAGCTTCTCATTGTAACTCAGATGGATGGGGTTTACTTTTGCCAATTGCTCGACAAGTACTCTGTTCAGTTTCGGGAAAAAAGAAAGGAAGAAAAGAAAAAGTTTTATGATGAGCTTTATATTCAAACAACAATTTTAGAAATTCCAAGACAAACGGTAAGAATTTAAATGTGCAACAATAGTTTATACTTGTCTGACCTATTTTACAAAATGATAGGCTTAGATGCCCACATCGTGTAAGTAAACTATTTTGCAATTACGAACCAACATATTTATTACTTCATATTTACATGTAAACTCTTTTGAGAGTTAGATGGAATCTATCAACAACTTCGGTATTGTTCCAAATTAAGACTTTATCCAATCAAAGGGAAAACAACAAAGTAAAGAAAAAGGCACGATGAGTTAAAGGCTGCAAAATTCCTAGAAGATTTTTTGAATTCAGACTGTTTGTAGTATATTTTATATTTTTCACAAGAGAATTTTCTTGATGCACAACATCAAGTATAGTTTGCCAAAGAGAGACAAAACAAGAGTATTACCTGAACCTCCTCAAGGCCCCTGCAGCATATTCTAATTGCTTCTTCCCAACTGACATCCAAGAAACTTCAGTCGCTAATCCATAGTTCCCAATGTCCGCCCAACTCAGTTTTCCTCGAACTTTGTAGGGATCACAGGCATTCTCTGAAGCTAATACTTCAGAGTTACTCTGTATATCAACCTGTGGGCTCTGCACCCATGATGAAATCATCGACCGTTCAGATGATGACCACCAAGAGGAATTGGAAAGATGTCCACGGGGAGACATAGACGAGCATTGGCTCTCTTGTGCTGAAGATTTTGATGGTGTAGCTGAATCAGCCAAAGATATGAATATATTTTTCATACATCTAACCATCTCCTCTGACAGTTGGTTTGGATGATCCCAGAGGCCCTTGGGGCGCATCCCTTTAGGAAGCTTCCCGAACTCAGCAGGTTGAAAAGATTCAGAATCCATCTTCCTAGACATTTTCATATCATGGTGAATTGCAATGGAGTCCACTGCATTCTGATAATGAGTCCAAAAAAAAAATGTTATCCCATGGGTTACCGCTTAAGCTTGCTGAACATTACTCCGCAAATAATCAATCGAGAGAGAGCAATATCTGAGCATGAAAAACTAACAGATACCTCAGTTAATTGTTGATCCTTTGGCTCCTGATATGAGTCATCTTCAGAGGAATGATGTAATTTACGATTGGTGTGCTCTGAAGTCCTCAAAGAAGATGAAATCTGGATGAGGTTAAAAGAAGTTAAATACACTACAACGAATTTGGTAAAGACTATATGTTATGCCATCACTTATTAATTCAGGTTACCAGCTGCCTGAAACAAAAAGCTTCTAAAGGGTGTTTGATCACCCAGATATATCTTATAGAAAAAAATTTCTGGTGTTTAAAAAAAATGAACCTGCAAATGGCCCATAGAGTTCACCTTTTCCAACCATCATTTCAGGAATTGGAAATAGCTCTACCCTTTACTTATCTTATTAGAACAAAATATATAAAATAGTAAAAACCGTTTCAAGTCATTGACATCAGCAACATTTTCAGTTTTCACTCTACTTTCAAGACACTAAAAAAATATTGAAACAATTTAATAAGACATCAAAAGAAAACAAGGGCATGGAGTAATGACAAAGACAGCATACCGTTAGTTTCATAATGTCAGAGGAGTGAGGAGACATGGACTGAGGAGATGGATGCCTCAGACGATATTCAGCAAGCCTTCGTTCATTTCTTTCTTGACTAAGTTGGAATTGCAAAGCAACCAACTCTTGTTCAAGTTTTGAAACTGTAACCTCCAGCGCAGAAATATTGCTCAGGAGCTCTTGAGCCTGTATAAATGGGACAGAAGACTACATCACTGCCTAAAATCCCAATTTGAAACCTGGATGATAGTTAATATGGGAGCAGAGGTGGAATATGGAAAAGAATAGTTAAGGAAAGCGTTCTAACTCAAGGGAAAACAAACGCAAGGTTCAACTTAATGGGTTACAATCTTTCAAACATTCAGTGTAAATCCTAAACGCTCAAAAGCCGTGCCATAATATGGAATATGAGTTTGATGTTGCCCCTTTCCAATACACTGCTTTCATGACAATCTTGGGGACCTTATAGAAGTTATCAGAGCCATGACTAGGCAGCAGACAAATCAATAGTATATAGAATAGAGGAAATGTAGTTTGCATTAAACTAGCCTGAACTCCATGATCGAAATGTCTCGCAGAAGTTAATTTAGAACTATCACAAGGATGCCCAGATAATGATTTATGAAGGGATGAAGTTAATTATGAAAACAAAATAAACAAAACAAGATAAAGGAAAACATACATAGTAAGGGAGGCATGAAGGGCTGGAAAATTTAACAGCATTTTTCTCAATTGCATTTTCCAGGATAGTATGCAGTTCTACTTCTTGCCGCAGCTGCAGTTGCAACCTTTGTACCTATTGCGGAAGCACTTACATAGGTCAATTGTAATTTGTGACAATGACAAATATGTCCTTTAATAAACATATGTATTAGCTCTTAAGACTCTGTTGCAGGAGTTTTGAACAATGAGATGGTCCCTAGCATGTCCCAGGAAATACCTTTACCATTATACTGGAACTATGACATGTTATCTAGCATAACCCAAACTAGGAATTTAGCAAGATTTGAACAGAAGCTGTTTACTGCAGTTAAAAGGAAATCCCTTGAGATCAAAACAGACATAGAGAATGGATGATGAAGCATCCAGGAAATGACAAGCAAATTTACAGCATGCTCTCTGGTTGACAATGCTATACCAATGGCTGCTAAGTCAGAAGTATTATTCAAAGTTGAAAACAAATTTTTTGTTAACTTCTACAATCCCCCAACTTTTGGAAAGAAAGAAGATGCATACGTATAGTATTACAGACACACAAATAGCTGCTTCTTGTTTTCAGGTAGGAAGGAAACTTACATCCTGTTCAAGCTGGAATCTGTAATGGTAAGTATCACTACCTTTAGAGCATGACCCAAATCTTCCAATACCTTCATCGGGATTGGTCACCTAAAGATAAACAAATTATCAGAATTACAATCAATAGGAAGTGACTTAACCACCACATAAACAACAGACAGTAATCTCTATATTCAATAAAATATTAAAATGTTATGTAGTTATTGATTTGAACCATATAAACAACACTCTTTTTTGACCCGAATGAATTCATAAGTTGTAAAGATTTCAATTTATACTTTGTTTGTGCAAAGATTTCAATTTATATTACAAAGCTAACCTGGGAGTGTTATCATTCTTAAAGAGAGGGAAGTGTAATGTAGGAAATAATGAACTCTGGATTCTGTGGATTCTGCAATTTGATACTTTGTTCCTAAATGTACGAAATAATCTATTTGATTCCAAAATGCAGCATTGGATCAGAAAAACAATAAATTTGAAGGCATTTGCAATCAAACCTATCTAAAAAATCAATTTAAGAGACGAAAATATATTTTCCTTGCATAATCAAGCATCTCCTAGCCTAAATATTTACCGTTGGGCTGGTTCCTAAGTATTTTCATTACTAACATAGTATTGAACTTAATTCACAGATTTGATAAAGATCAGAAATTATACCTCTAACAGTCATTGAAACATGAATATGAAACAAGTGACTTCAACCATAGAGCATAACTCGAAAGGAAAAGGAGAAACTGAGGTGGGGAATCTAACAGCATAAATTCAACTAATATAGTTTTTGAAAAGGTCTAAATTTGCTGAAACACAAATCAAGTTTATGGAAGATTTTCTTACCTGTGAAAATGAGCTCTCACTCTGAAGTTCTTTTGCAGAAAATGACTGAATTTCCGAATTACTAGTGATGCTAGAATGCGAATATTTACAAAACGAAACGCTTCTGGAAATTGCAACCAAACAAAACAAGAAATCATTATCAATGAAATATCTTAAAGACCCACTTCATATACCAAAAAACCGTGGAGTAACAACAAAGAACATGAATGCACACTCACTGGCTCAAGGCAGTTTGCACAAACGGTGAGTCACACATCTTGCGATCATGGAGTTTGGATTTTATCCCTTAAAGCACATCCTGAAATCACCGAAAACAGCTTGGTTTCGGGTACTAGAAGCTATGCCTTCCCAGTTCCCACACATACAAACAAGCATCACAACATCCTGCAAATCCCACTTCAAATGTAAAACACCTGTCTTTTTTCCAATTTTTAATGAAGAGTTTCAGGATGTTTTGTGGAAGACAACCTCAGTATATCTCAGAAACAAGCGTGAATGAGATGTATAAATTAGAAACAAGGCACTGGGCACCTGTGAACCATATGAGGACAAACAAACTCATGAATGCCACAGCTACCAGTCATTTTCAACACAACCATACAAACATTATCAGGACCAGATTCGTTAACCCAAATTCGGTTTCGAATTAAGGCACAACCACCTCAAATCATTGCAATAATAAAAGGGAAATTTGGCAAACTACCTTCTGCACTTCCATCATACAGCAATCAATTACAAATTTACTGTTCACATTCCATCAAATTTAGGGCTTCCAAAAAAAGCAGTCAATTTGGAAAAATCATGAGGTTATGATATTCTACAAAAAGGAAAAGACAGAATGATTAGGTTTTAGATTATCAGAGTAAAGGGTTTTTTGCACAGTGGGTGGTAGGACACCAAATGCAAAAACACAAAATTGCTAAAGAACAAAAGTGGGGGCACTTCCTAAACCCTCGTGGGAGCCAAAAGTAATTCCATGGTGAATTAATAGGACTGCAATCATCAAACCTACCCTCTGAGAGTCTTCCAAAGTTCTTTTGGAGAGGAAATTGGTTGCTTTTTGCCCCCATTACCTTCATTTCCATAGAATTTTAGAAGATAATAAATAAAAATTTGATAGAAGCGGGAGAAAAATCGTTACCGTGGCATCTTAGACTAATAATGCAACGACAAACTCAGCGAGATTTCACTTATACCATAGTCTGACTGAGATTCAAAAGTGCAGGTCAATAAAGGCCAAGGCGTTTACTTTGCCTTGCAAAAGCTTCCAATCTATACGTCATGAACTAGATTACTCAAAGAAATAAGCAGCACAAGATACAAATCCAGAGGACGGATCTCAGTGGTCCCCCATTAGCCCAAAAGACCCTATCAATTTTTCACAACCGACCTATAAAAAATTAAAAGATGCCTCCCTTTCTGAGTGCTCAGTAAGACTACAAGCACAACAAAACAAGAACATGCAGATGCAAATTGAAATCAAAAACCAAAAAATAGGACCGGAAATTAAAAGGGGTTGTTACTTGATACTTGTTAGCTCAAAAAAAATAAGCAGAAAAGCAGAAAGATGCATACATATAACCTAGAGCAAGATTTCACCAACTGACCCAAATTTCCTGCAGCTGTAAAGACCCCAACTTTCAACTCAAATGCTTCTCTCTCTCTCACTCTCTCTCTCTCTCTCTCTCTCTCTCTCTCTCTAGAACTTCAACCAATTCTCCCTCCTGAAACTCAAAGCTTTGTGCACCTCAAAAGTGACAAGGATGCGGCTGGGCAGATTAAGACTTGATAAGTAACAAGGATTTTGTGCAAATATAGAAACAAAATGTTTGGAGAACGGAGAAAAATACCTCCAAACAGCAAAACACTAAAATAGTAGCTGCCCTTTGACTAACAGTGGAGCCAAGGGTTTGACACTTCGGTTCAATTTGATCTTGCAAAAAATTTGCTTTTTTCAGAAGTGCTTTTGAAATTTGAAATTTCTAGGAGAAACCCAGTTGCCAGAAAACGATGCTGATTATGTTACATGGCCACATGTGTACATGGGCTGGTTGTGTTAAATGAAATCGCATCCTCCATCTGGAGATGTGTGAAGTAAAAGCATTTATTTGATACTTGACAGCAGTAACAGTTTTGCAGTCACGGTTACCACAGCACCAAGAATATAATAAAGGGGAGGCATGGGCATAATGGGTAATTAAAATTAGAAGTTTTGGGCTGAATTTTTTTAGTGGTGTTATTTTTGTGACACGGCATTTTTAATACGATTTTTATGGTGAAAATAAACTTTTATGCTGAGCTCGGTTAGCAATTGAAGTTCAAATACAAATTTTTGTTAGTCTTTCGTTAAACAAACACAGTTGATTATAACGTGAACGGGGTCAAATTTGTTGTTTCAATCTTAATTACATTTTTTTTTTGTCAAAATAGGGACAACTGGTGGCAAACCATAATTATCTACCATTTTGGGTCTAGAAATGTTATGGGAAATTTTCACCATGTCAGTGATCACTGTTAAACAGATTCACCAACTCGAAGCATCAAATCCATAATCTCACATATTTTTGTGTTTATTAGAGGCCGCAATTTTACCGTTAAGCCATTAGTTGTGGTTAATTACATACAACTTATGTTGATGTGATGATTGATTCCTTAAAAATTTGGTGGACGACCCATATCTTCTCCACCTTCACTTGGCGATGGATCCCACAGGACACTTGTATCTCCTAGATTTAAACATGTAATTCAGTTTTTTCTTTTTTAATATTAAAATAAGTTTCATTGGTGGAGCAAATTTTTTCATTTTTAGGAAATACACTTTCCTTTTACTAAAGTATAAAACGACACCTTCATTTTCTATACAAACACATTCACCATTTGAATACTCAATATTTCAACTTCAAGAGCAGAAGGAAGCAACCATCGCCAGGTGATGGAGGAGAAAAAAGAGGTCATCAACCAAATTTTCACGGGATCAATCACCAAATCAAACATAAGATGTAATTTGAATTGAATGATGAATTTGATCCCTCTACATACTAGTCACGTGAGTTTGTTTAATAAAAGACTAACCGAAGTTTGGGTTTGGACTTCAATCCTTAAGAAGACTCACCACAGGAGTTTAGTTAACAATTTTTTCACCATAAGGGTCACATTGAAAGCGTCATGCCATCAAAAGGAACACGAAAAAAATTTGTCAAGTATTTATGTTTTGACTTAAGCATCGTTTGGCAGCTCGTATAAGACACCAGATAGTATTAATCATTGTGTATTTATGTGTAAAATAGCCACCAGATTGAGTAAGGAAATACCCTAACCGCATGAGCGCTTTCTCTTTGGTTTTCTAAACATTGCAAACACCCTTGCCACCTGCCCTAGCCTTAGGCTTGGGTGCCCGTGGTTACCCCCCCCCCCTCTAACCTCTTTGTTCTCACTCTTTCCATCCTTCTCCTTTTCCCATTCTCTTTTTTTCAATTTTGCCCTAAGTTTTATCTCAAATTCCTTAGGCTTTGTCTTATATTTTCTCCTGAGCTTGTCTCAGATTTGGGCTTCATGTCCTTTCTCTCATTCCATCCCTCTCACCCTTCCAAACCCAAAAATCCATCTCCTATTTGCTTTTTCCTTTTGCCTTTCTTCCTCATAATCCATCCCCACACTCATCCTTTGCTCTAATTTGCGGGCTCAGGTGAAAGTGGTTGCCAAATTCATTACCCTCCCTCACTTTCCCTCCCTTTACTGGCATGCCAAAATTCCCTCGAGGCCAAATGTTCTGCAGCTTCAGCCAAAGTAAAGGTATTTTACTATGTATATATTTCAGGGATTGGTGAATGGGATTTGGATTCAGTGACTATCTCTTGGTTAGGCGTTTTAGGTGACAAAATCTAGATGTGAGTGCTTTTGGTTGCATGTTTGTTATTTTTGTGCTGCGACATCTTGGTCGAATTGACCACTTAGTTGTTTTCTCTAGTGTAATTGCCTGGGTGGCTACTGGCAAGACTTTTGTGGCAGTGACAGCGGTAGGCGTTGCTTTTTGCGGTTGGAGATTAGTGATTAAGGGTTTTGTTTTTGTTTATTTGATTCAGCAGGGCTGTTGTGTATCTGTTTCCCCAATGTATTTGGGTTATTTTGCCTTCCTTTAAGATATTACTTTTCAACCAAAAAAATAAAAATAAAAATAGTTACCGAATAAAATAATATTGGCCTACAAATCTAATACAGCTCACACGTGCTTACTTATCCTTTCCAAAACGTTTGTAATTAGTCGGGTTCTCACCCTCACTCGGGCTCTCCATGACTGGAGAAGAACCAACCGGCCCTGGACTTGCCCTAACAAAACACACGCTCGCTCGCACTCTCCATCCCTCTCTCGCGAATCTGGTCATTCTTTGCAGATCTCCTTCACGTGGCCGTCGTTCAGCCGTTGTCTCAACCCCAGGTATTACCATCGCTCCCCTATCTTCTTCCCCAAAGTCCCAAACCCATCTCAACATACTCGCAATCACCATAGCAACCCTTCTCCAGTGACCCCAACTCAATTGTTACCACTACCCTCCCCTTCCCAAATCCCAGTCTGCAATCTACATAAGAACAAAAAAAGGGTTTTTTCCATTCCAACAACCAGAGAGCAAAAAGAAATTCAAAAATTAACGGAGAAACATATGAAGAAGGAGAAGAGGGGATGATTTTGGTTAAAGATTGGCATCGCCATGGTGTTGGCGAGATGCTCCATTACTCTGATTCTTCTTCTTTTTCTGATCTTCTCTTATCTGGTACATACAAAACACAGGATAAAATAATTTGGTATTTAATCTAACACAGTACTAAACACCTGACTATCTAGTCAATGCTATCTAATGCCCAAATTAGTCTATCGGACTGAAATAGTCTGTACACTCCAATGTGTGTACCAAACGTGGCCTTAAGGTTTTTCTGACTTTTAACTAATTACCTAATACAATTGTAAATTATGACTTTGACCGCTTGGTAAATAAAGTCCAGGATTAGACAAGATTGTGTGAGAAGCTAAAAGTGATGAGTGTGTATTGTTTTTCTTGATACATACTAATGCCCTCATTCAACAGAATACTTGGCAGCTTGTTCGTCTTCCAGAACACAAGAATCTTGTAGGGTGTAAGTGGATCTACAAGATTAAAAATAAATGCACGTGGTTCAGTTACTCGATACAAAGCTCGTTTAGTTGCTAAAGGGTTTTCTCAAGAAGCTGGGCTGGACTATTGTGAAGTCTTTAGTCCTGTAGTGAAAACAACTACCGTCAGGATAGTTTTGTCATTAATTGTTACACATGGCTGGAAACTTAAACAATTGGACGTCAAAATTGCTTTTTTGCATCGTTTTCTTGAAGATGAAGTGTATATGTCCCAGCCTCAAGGATTTGTTGATTCTACACATCTAGATTATGTGTGCAGATTGAAAGTATCATTATATGGCTTAAAGCAGGCTCTTCGAGCCTGGAATGAACTTTTTTCAAAATTTCTTCTTCACTTGGGTTTCAAAACATCATATGATGATCCTTCTCTATTTGTTAAGTCTAGTGGCACATCAATTGTTGTCCTGTTGTTGTATGTGGACGATCTAATCTTGACTGGGGATACCAATAATGCTATACAATCTGTGATTACTCAATTGACACAAGAGTTTGACATCAAAGATCTGGGCATTCTATATTTTTTTTCCTTGGGTTACCAATTGAATATCAACCTCAGGGTTGTTTTGTTCATCAAACCAAGTATGTCAAGGAGTTGCTCCAATAGGCTAATATGGTTGATTGTAAACCATGTCTAACTCCCTTCCATCCTAATCAAAAACTGTTCAACCATGGGAGTCCTCCAGTCTCAGATCCAGTTGCTTATCGAAGTCTTGTACGAGCTTTACAATATCTTACTTTCACACGGCCAGACATTGGTTTTTTTTGTTAATCAGGTATGCCAATTTATGCATTGTCCTATGGAAACTCACTTTGTTGCTGTCAAGCGAATCCTAAGGTATCTTAAAGGTTCCTTAACTCTTGGTTTGTGCTTTAGACATGGACCTGTACATTTGAGAGCTTATATAGATGTTGATTGGGCTGGTGATCCCAATGATAGACGATCCACGACTGGTTTTGTTGTGTCTCTTGGCTCCAACCCTATCTCTTAGAGTTCTAAGAAGCAATATGCAGTTAGCAGGTCTTCCATCGAGGCAGAATATAGGGCTATGGCTACCAGCATTGGAGAGGTTGTGTTGGCTGCAACAATTACTCAAAGATTAACAGTTGTCTTGTTGAGACATTCCTTTGCTTCATTGTGACAATATCTCAGCGATGGCTCTTGCCACCAATCCTGTTTTCCACTTGTTGATGCACAAAATCAGCGAAGACTTTGGTACAACAGAAAGTGTCAGGTTTTGTGACCTTCGCTTGGTTGCTTCGGTCACTAGTGAGGATAAGTACGTAAATGAATAGAGACAGAGAAGCAAACACAGGATGTACGTGGTTCACCCAGATTGGCTACGTCCACGGAGTAGAGGAGTTCTTATTAGTAGTGAAGGGCTTACACAAGTACAAAGGATCAAGCTCTCAATTTAGTGAGTTCTTGTGAATGATTTAACACAAAATGGCATTAGGCAATATTGTGGGGGAATGACCCCTATTTATAGAAAAACTTGTAGCTTTGTCACATTGACATGTGTCATGTTGTGATTGGTTCTTGATGTCGACACGTGCTGCGCGCTCTGATTGGCTTCTAATCTTGACACGTGTCGAGTAGTGATTGGCCTCCTGGTCGGAGGGGAACTCTTCTGGGTCCTTGACAGTATAGCGTTGGCCGGTGCTCGGTAGTTTCGGGATTGGTCAAGTATGGTACAAACAGTGCTCCCCTAAGTTCCCGAGTGAGGGAAACTCCTCGGTTGGGGACTTGCAAGATCCAATCCCTTGAGTAATCACGAAACTTCTAAGTACCGAAGTGTGGTCTGATCTTCATCTGCCCTTCTCTGGAAGTACCTTTCCTCCATCCGGGAATGGTGTACTTAGCTGATGTTGACGCACAAGGTAATGTATCAATTTCACTTGAAGCT